GATCAGAGGCTGTCATTAGGCCTATCTCTTACGATCTTGAGCCTAAATGATGGAAAATTATCGGTCGTTTCATTCATGTTTTTTTTTTTTTTTTCTTATCCATTCATTTCTCTCCTCTCTCTTTCTCTCTTTCTCTTCTTTCTCTCTTCTCTCTCTCTCTCCTCTCTCTCTCTCTCTCTCTCTCTCTCTCTCCTCTCTCTCTACCTTCCTCCTTCCCTCTTCTCTCCCTCCTCCCTCTCTCCCTTCCTCCCTCCTCTCTTTCTATTTCTCTCTCTCTTCATCCTTCTCTCTTACTCCCTCTCGTTAAGGCAAGATAAGCAAACGCGCGAATTAAAAAATGTCTTAAGTGTGATCGCCTGATAAGATAAGCCTGGTTGAAAATCTTTCTCATTTGCATGTTTTTTTTTTCTTCTTCTTCTTCTTCGTCTTCTTCTTCTTCTTCTCATTAGTGGCTTATTTATGTGGTTAACTGTCTTTGGTTATCTGTTTGTGTTTCTAATTGTTTATCGATTTGTGTCTGTCTCCTTCTCTCTCTCTTTCTCTTCTTATCTCTCTGTCTCTCTCTCTATCTGTCTGTCTCTCTGTCTCTGTCTGTCTGTCTCTCTCTCTCTCTCTCTCTCTCTCTCTCTCTCTCTCTCTCTCTCTCTCTCTCTCTCTCTCTCTCTCTCTCTCTCTCTCTCTTCTCTCTCCCTCTCTCTCTCTCTCTTCTCCTCCCTTCCCTCCCCTCTCTTCTCCTCTCCTCCCTCACTCCCTCACTCCCTAACTAACTCCCTTCTCCCTCCCCTCCTTTTCCTCACTCCTCTATCTGTCTCTCCCTCCCTCTCCAATTATCTAACTATTTATCTATCTATCCATAATCAAACAACATAAAGACTAACGACCTAACAACCGTTTTCCATCGTTATCATAAATCAATCTCTAAACAATGAAAAAAATACCGCTATCGATTGTAGAACAAGTAAACAAAAACAACAACAAAAAAACAATATCTGCGGAATGTCCCCTGTCACCTTACGTTTTTTTTTCTCTCTCTCTCTCTCTTTCTCTCTCTCTTTTTTCTTCTTTTTTTTTACGATTTTTTTTTCTTTTTTTTTTTCTCTCTTTTTTTGGCATAGAAATTGATGGGTGAAATCTTGCCGTCTGCTCGATGGGAGAGATCGAGAGATGTCTTGAGTGAAGTGTGATTTACATCTCGGATTTTTTTTCTTGTTTTGTTTATTTGTTTGTTTTGTTCTGTCTCTCTCTTTCTCGCTCTCTCTTTCTTTCTTTCTCCGACACCTCCACTCACTGTCTCTCTCTCTCTCTCTCTCTCTCTCTCTCTCTCTCTCTCTCTCTCTCTCTCTCTCTCTCTCTCTTCTTCTCTCTCTCCTCCTCTCTCTCTCTCTCTCTCTCTTTATTGATATTGGTGGAATTAAAAAAAATTATGAGGATTATAGAAAATAAAGGAGATGAGAAAAATAAGATGAAGAGATAAAAAGTAATAAAAGAGGTAGGATGATAAAGAATAAGAAGATGAAGGAATCTGACCTTATTTTCTTTTCAACCGAGGCGCCCCGTTAACTAAATAAGATCTTGATGAATCTATCGCCTCGGCTCACATAATTAACCAAGATCATTATTTGTGAAGATTCATTAAACTTCGCTGACTTGGTGGAATGGCGTACTCCCCCCCCCCCCCCCACCCCCCTACCCCTTGATTCGCCGAAATATAACCGGTACGCAAAGATCATTAATTACGGGTCGCACAGGAGAGAAATCGGAGGGGTTACGGGTATAAAATTTTTCGCGTTTATTTCCATTCGAATTTTACCTTGTTAGACCTTCTCTCATCTGTATTTCTGATGTTTTCCTTTTACTATTTTTCTCTCTGGGTATTTCCATCTCTTCCTCTCCTATTTGGAAGAGTCCGAAGCGTATATAAGCCAAATATGGCGCCGGGAGAACGCGGGGTCAAATGTTTCTTTTTTTTTCCCGCCATTAGAGATGATGTCCTCAATTCCACCTTTCATATTCTGAGAGATAGAGCCACGCGCACTCTCCACTTATTGGTATGCGGCGAGCGAGTGGATGCGGGCCTATGTGCGCATACAAACGTACGTTCACATATGCACATGCTTACGAGTATGCGCGGGGGATCACGTGCGTTTGTGGGTATTTTATGATCATGTTTGAATGCGTTTTTTTGAGGGTGAATTCTGATGAAATAGTGTGGATAAACAAATAAATGATGGTCGTTCACATAAGCATAAGCCTAAGAAAGTTTTTTTCTCTCTCTCCCTTCCTCCCCCCCCCCTTCTCTTTCTCTCTCTCCCACCCTTCGCTCACCCCCCCCCGCCTTCCCCCCTCCTGTCATGTTTGCCTCATTATTCGTAACCTCCCTACCTCCGCCTCCCCCCCCCCCTCCCATAACCTCCCTCCCTCCCTTCGCTCCTCCTCCACCTTCTCTCCCTGTTCTTCCTTCCTCCTCTCTGAACTTCGTCCTCTCTTGTCTCCTACTCCTCCTCCTCCTCCCCTTCCTTCACCTCCTCCCTTCCTCCCCTCCTCCTTTCCTCCTCCTCTCCTTTCCCCTTCCTCCTCCCCCCTCCTTCACCTCCTCCTCTTCCCCCCACCTCCTCCTCCTCCACCTCCTCCTCCGCCTCCTCTTCCCCCCCTTCCACCTCCTTCCTCCTCCCTTCCCCCACCTCCTCCTCCTCCTCCTCCTTCACCTCCTCCTTTCCTCTTCCTTCCATCCCCTCCTCCTCCTTCACCTTCTCCCTCCCCTTTCCCACCCCCTCCTCCTCCTCCTCCTTCCTCCTTCCTCCCACCCCAGCTCCTCCTCCTTTCCCACCTCCTCCTATCCTAACTCCTCCTCTTCCCCCCTCCTCCTCCTCCTTCACCTCCTCCTCCTCCTCCTCACCTCCTCTCCCCACCCCCACCCACCCCTTCCACGATGGGTAACCCGATAAAGCACTCTAAAGAATTTCTTTTCTGGGAAAGTCTCGTCTTGTCCTGGAATGTGAAAGAAGACGGTGAATGAAGATGAGTTGCGGAATTTCTTCGGGTGTCTTCTTCTCTCTCTCTTTGTTCTTTTTATTTTTCTTCTTCCCTTCTTCTCTGATGCCCCTTCTAACCCAACCTCCTCCTCCCCCTTCCTCCCTTCCCTCCCTCCTCCCTTCCTCCTCCCTCCCCCTCTTTCTCCCCTCCCCCTTCCTCCCTCCTCCCTCCTCTTCCCACCCTTCCTCCTTTCAACCTCCCTTCCTCCTCTCCCTCCTCCCTCCTTTTCACCCTTTTTACCTCCTCTTTTTTCCCCCTCCTCCCTCTCCTCCTCCTCCTTTCCCACCCACCCCCTTCCACCTCCTCCTTCCTCCTCCTCCTTCCTCTCCTCACCTCCCCCCACCCCCACCTCACCCCCTTCCACCTCCCCGCCGCACCTTCTCCTCTTCTTCCTCACCCTTTTTTTTTTAATTTCTCCTCCCTTTCCCTTTCCCCCTCCCTCCTTCCCTTCCTCTTCTCCTCCTTTCCTCTCTCTTCACCATCCCTCCCCCTCCTCTCCCTCCTCCCTCCCTTCCTCTCTCCCTCCCCCTCCCTCCCTCCCTCCTTCACCCTTTTTTTACCTCCCTCGCCCCTTCTAACACCGCGGGTCGTCGGTCTCCGGATTTCGCCAGATTTATTGCAATGAATGGTGTTTTCACGAGAAAAAAGGGTCGGATAAGTGGAACAAATGACTTAACAAATGTCTGTTTCAATCTTTTTTCTTTCTTTCTTTTTTTCTTTCTCTTTCTCTATCTCTTTCTCTTTCTCTTACTTTTTTCATCTCTCTTTCTCTTTCTCTTTCTTTTTCTCTTCCTCTTTCTCTTCATCTTGTTGTCTCTCTCTCTCTCTTTCTCGTTCTCTTCTTTTTCTTCTTTCCTTTTCTCTTCTCTTCTCTTCTCTTCTCTTCTCTTCTCTTCTCTTCTCTTCTCTTCTCTTCTCTTCTTCTCTTTCTCTTCTCTTCTCTTCTCTTCTCTCTCTCTCTCTCTCTCTCTCTCTCTCTCTCTCTCTCTCTCTCTCTCTCTCTCTCTCTCTCTCTCCCTCTCTCTCTCTCTGAAAAAAACACTGGACATTCCAATTCACATACATCACAAACACCAAAGCAAGCACACATAAACGTACACAATTATCAAGAAAGCACAAACAGAGAGAAATATATATATATAATTACGAAGAAAGTACAGACAGACACGACAGATAAGGAGAGAAGCGAGAGAGTTTGACCCACGACCTCTTAAGTATTGTTCGGTCGTTGGGTCGTTCGGTTAGCGCGCTGTTAACACTCGTTCTGGGTTTATGAGGGAATCTTTTTATCGCTTGGAAAGTTGTGAGGTGTTTTTTCCCCCCTCCCTCCCCTCTCCCCTTCTCCCTCTCCTCCCCTTCCTTCCTCCTTCTCCTCCCCATCCTCCTTCAACACCTTCCCCTCCCCCTCCTCTCCCCTGCCTCCCTTCTCCTTTTTTATGTATCTCTTTGTTTTTTATTCATTTATTCTCGTATATCCTACTCGCATCTCTATTTTAAGTTTATATTTTTTCGTATTTTTCGTTTTATCGTTATCATTTTTTATTATTATCAGCATTATTATTGTTCTTGATATTATAAGTAGTAGTAGTAGTAGCATGCTTAGTATTAGTATTTATTGTTAATACTATCATCATTATCCCATTGTTATTACCATTATTATTACTATCATTATCATTATTATCCCTATCATCACATCGTCACCACCACCTCAACCACCACCACCACCACCACCACCACCCCACCCCCACCCTACCCACCACCACCACCACCACCACCCTCACCACCACCACCATCATTCACCCCAACCACCACCACCACCCTTCCACCACCCACCACCACCACCACCACCACCACCACCCTCACCACCACCACACCACCACTCACCACCACCACCACCCCACCACCACCCTCACCCCACCCACCACCCACCCCCTCTAACCAACCCCCTTCTTCCCCCCCCCAAACAG